AACTACTTACTTAAAGGAAGTTGTTGTAATTCATATTTTGACAGATCTTAAAAACAAACAAGTACCCCCGTGGCTCAATGATTGCGTAGCCTAACATTGCATGAGTAGTCGTGGATTCGATTCCCGAAATAACGTAATCATTTTGGTCAGGCAACAGAAGTCTCTTCAACTACGTAACTAAAATAAACGCAATCGAATCGTGAAGCGGATCACGCAACCTGTCCACCAACAGTAGGAATTCAAACACACTGCTTAAAGGGTAATATGACAAATTTCACTATATATCAAAAGCGTTTTATATGTTCACACATTCCAGGTTAAGTGTGACACTCGACAATTTAATGTTTGCCAAAACAATTCAAACGTCTTATATAGCTCTTCACTTCCCTAAATTTATTGAAAACTTTTTTTATCATTTAAATAACAAAAATATTCATGAGCAACTAGCGATAGCAATAAATACTAAATAAATAAAAATATTTTTCGTTTATGATCTTAATACTATTGGAAACTCGAAAACGTCGACGGGCTTTTTAGTTCAGTCCCAATCGTGGTCCAATTCCCACGTGGTCCAGCCTGTTTTTAAATAATTGTCTTATCACTTCCTTAACTTGCTAACAACGTTTGGGAAAATCTAGTATGTAGTTGGTGGTGGTGGCAGGAATATTTATGCACGGGTGATGAACAGGCTTTCATAGGTGGAAGAGCTCTGAAGTGTAAATGCGCGTTTCGGTTTTCGCCTGTGGATCAGATGCGGACGGCATTATCACGAGATGGTGCTTGCCTCTTCTCGCTCATATCGGCCGAAGAGCCCGAAAAACAATGATATGTTGAACGTAGCCTACGTGAAACCTTACACAATTTTTTTAAACTAAATTAGTTGTTATTGAGCTGAGATATTTCATATGCCCAGAAAACGATTTATAACTATGTAGAAGATATAGCAATGTAGAAAAGGCACTTTATACATAGTCGTATAAGACGAATAAAAAATGTTAAATTCGCTTTATATGTCAGAATGCTCGGAATAATTTCAACTGACCTTTTCTGTTTTAAATCCTTTAATAACAATTATGTTTTTATTATGATACAATTATTAATTCAACAAATGATTCATTCGAAGATGCAAACATTCGTAATCACTACGGGATTTTAAAATATCGTACCTTGCACTCACACACATGAGAATTTCCACGAATTGAAATGAGATAGCACGAATAAATCAGTGCAGTCCTTTATCAAAGCTATTATGAAATACCCATAGCAAAGCGTGTATGCTACTTAAATCTGTGTATCGATTAAAAATCGATCGTTGATTGAATCGATCGATTGAGTTAAATCGAATTCTAATAGGGATATTTGTTTCATTGAGCTGGTTACGTGTGAAAAATAGTAATGTATTACATTGCATTGTGTTTACTACATGCAAAGGTAGCAAAGAAGAAATCGCCATAGGCGATAAGGCCGCCTTTGCACAAACATGTTTTATTTTGTATATATTATAAGTGTCTATACTCTTATGTCTATTTTTGTGCAATAAAGAGTTTTTATTATTATTAATGGTAACACGCATTTTGACTATGATGCGATTAAACTTCACGGCTATTCACCTGTGGATGGTGGTTCATAACTTGGAAAAAAATACGATATACCCATTTGACATCCCGATTTCCAGATAATGTCGGCTAAGATTCAAAAAAATTGAATTGATTAGAAAAATATTGCACCCGGTGGGGATCAAACCCATGAACCGTTGGATATGAGCCACGCAAACTAGTATTAAACTGCATGGACAAGTGTACTAAGTGAAATTAGTTTGATATGTAAAGCATGAAAGCCCTGGATTCGAGTCCCGGAATCCGCTTATTTCTAATCGTATATATGTTCTCGCCCTATACTTTACCTTGGCTTTCTATAACATATTTTTGTTATGTTATTTGTAAAACTTAAAAAACTTATTTGACATATGTGATAAAAGATCCTCAACTAAAAAGTTTAAATTATCCTTTACTATACCTCAAATATGCATCTAATTGAATAAATACTAGCGCGATCCATTGCAATGAAGTTGCGTAATAAGAAGTGTGCAATAATTACAAGAGACCGATATAAATTAGTTCAATAAAAGAGAGTTTTTAAGCGAGACGTGAAGTTAGTTATTTCTAATTAGTGCTTGAAAATATAACAAAAGACGATCGGCGAAACATCTACACTATTTGTGCATTTTAAACGTATGAATGATATTGAGGCCCTAAAAACCTGTATGCTGTTTATCGAGTGGATACACTTGCTCAAGACCAGTCGTGCAGGTAAGTACGAAAAATACACCGGCTATATTTATATATTTTAAGATTTTTTGACAAACATTTCAATATATATAATCTATTTTTACAAATGTATTTAAAATACTTGTACTACTTCTGTCAATACCCTGCGATTTTTTTTATATAATGAATCATAGTGTTGTTGATAATTAGTTTTATAGAATTTTAACGCGGTACAAATGAAATGAAACGTGATAGTGGGTTTTCACTCTTTATCTCTGTCTCCGCAGTTGATAAATAACGATCGTGTTCTACTAGAAACAGTTGATTATTTAATCTTATCAATAATATCGGATATTCCAAATTTCATTAAATTTATTACACTTTTTATCATTATTGGTGGTTTGTTTATTATTATTATTTATTAACCTTTCTAATCGAACCGAAATAGTTGTAAAAGAGCTTTACTTTTGGCTTTAGAAGTATTATTTTTAACGTGACTTATTTTTGTATAATAAAGACATTTAGACGCTTGTTTATATTAAAGCAAAACGTCTTTGATAGGTTACATATTATATTAGTGAAACATAAATAAATAAACAAGTTTGAACTCGCTAATTTCAGGAACTACTGGTTCGAATTGATTTTCTTTTTGTGTTGGTTAGAGCATTTATTGAGAAAGGATATAAAACATTACGCTGGGATTAATACAAGCGAGAAATATGAAAAAACTTGGGAAAATCATTCAACATTATGTATTTCCGAAGCGTACGCTGCGGAAAAGGTTCAAGATACCCAAAGTAAAAGTCAAATTCAAAAATTATTTATTCATGTAGGTAACTATCTACACTTATGCACGTCACAAAATAATTAAAGAATCTAACTTTACATTCACTACCAGTTCTCAAATCAAGGGCGTAGAACAAACGAGAAGAACTGGCAATAAACTCGCCGTCACTCCTTTTATCGCCAAGTTTCATTTTACATTCTTGATTTACTTTTAGTGCACTACATATTTATCATTAGCATTTTTATTATTTAAATATTGATTAACGTGATAATAACCCTTTTCAAGCAGTTTTTGTTTTACCCAAAAATATACGTATCACAGAATAATTTCTCATGATGAAAAATTTATCTAAAAAAAGTCCGCGTCGCTATTTGAGGCTTTTTTAAGATTAACTTGCAAGAACGTTTCGACACATCTCTAGCACTTCGAGAGACGTCTCGTACGCTGATATACAATTAGCAAAAGACAATTAGTTGTAAATTGCACGTCTCTCAACATCGTGATGTTCACTTTATTACGGAGACAATTTCAAAGGATATCCGTTCTCTTGTTCCGCTTTGATCACTCGAGCGTTAATCGACGGAATTTTACCTTGATTCTAATTAAAATTTGATCATTCTAACTTCTTGACACCTCGTTCAAGTGTTCCACAGTTGAAATTCAATGTTCAATTGGAAGCTATTGCAGACAAATAAGGAATACATATGTCTTTCTATGTAAGAACGCGAGTGTTGCTATTAAATCAGACACTTGTTGTGATTCGAAAACGCAAATTCTATTTTTAAAATTACTGTTACCGAAAGCGGCGCTGTTCAAAATTAATCAGTATATAACGCGTCTTGAACAATTAAAAGTGTTTCATTCAAATAAAACACTTTGACGGTTTAAAAGGAGATATATATAGTAGTTAAACTTGTTTGAGAGTACGGGTCACGGGGAGACTATGGCATACAAAGCATCCAAAACGTCAGGCCGAGTTAAAATAATTTCCAAACAGGTGTTTTATTTAAATGTGTACTACTCGCGTTAACTACAGTTTGTTGTTTCACTGACAGTAGTTTCATTCAATGGAAAATGTATGTCCTAAAAGTGGGTACTTTCGTGTCTATTATGTATACGATAGTATGTACAATAATTACACTCTTGACTTAATTTCACCATTATTTCTTATCCCCTCCTTGATGACGTCATTTCAGTATTCCTCGAACAATTTACATATTTTAGTCTGTCTCCTTTATATAAAATAAACAAATGTTTCCAGCACAACACGATTTAAGTGCATAAAGTGAGCATTATTTAAAATGAGAACAACTCGACAACAGATGCTGATGTAATATGATAGCTGCAGCCTAAACGTTTGGCTCGACTCCAGTTGTCACAAAATATTGCAATAAATTGCATTCCCAAAAAAAATATTTCACAGCTGAATAATTCACTGCCTGATACAACTCTTTTAATCTACGTTTAAGTTTGACAGTAGAAAAAAAATAAAGTGATCTAATAATACATACTACAATTAAATACTTTAAAGTTTAAAACGCGATATATATAAAGTATGGTTGGAATGTGTGACTAATGATCAACGGTTTGTGGATATTATGTTCCCCACCGGATCCAAAATGTTTTTAATTTTTCTAATACATGTTGGACATCGTCTGGAAATCTGGATGAGTGGTAGAAATAACGAAATTCCGACCGGGTCACGAACCACCATCCACAGATGAATAGCCGTGAAGATTAATCGCATTTCGATTTCAGTCTGTGGATTTCAATTATTATAAGAAAATTTTATTTTCTTTATATTAGATTTATTTAGAATATATATTGTTCACTTTTAATGTCGATTTTATATTGTTATCTAATAATAAGTGAAATTCTTTATCATAAATTATAATTTTGTTGTTTGGTCTTTTCAGTCTGCAATATACGTTTAATTTTATAGGACAATGGCAGAGAGGTTAAAATTTCCATTCGAAATTAAGAATGTTACGGAAGAAGAAGACAAAATAGTCAAGAAATATTATAAAGGTACGTTATAATTGAAATTTACTTATACAGTTTCAAAGTGTTTGTTTTCATAGTTGTAATTTGATTCCAATAAAGAAGAGCCTCGCGGGCACCTAGATATTTCATAAAGGCGATATTCTCACAACTAGGATAAGAAAGACAGTCAATTATGCAAAGAAGCTTAATACCTTTATGATTTATATGATAAGAAATCAAATACGTATTTCTTTAACATTTTAGTTATTTTATGTGACTGTCTCAGAAATGTGCGGAACCATGTCCCATTATGGTTCCGCACATTTCTGCGTCCGTTTTATTTTACTTACTACATTTTACTTATGTAAAACGGAACAATGAATATGCCTATAAAGCCTATAAAGGCAAGTAGTTGCTCATGCTCAGCCTAGCCTATACAATTTATTGTTTCCCCGGGATCAAAACCTAGGACCACTCTCACTAAACGCAAAGACGTCTTTCGTAAATTCTGCAAGGACCCGGTTTCCCCAAATATCAACACCGGAACAGATGGGGCCAGCGTAGCAGTTACTTAGTTTGACATTAGAGATACCCTCCATCTTTAGTCTTTCCGTGACCACGGCTGCCGCAAAGCATCCGAAACCTCGGGCCGTAGTTAAAATAAATAAGTTTAACAAATATATTTCACGATTTAAACCGTTAAAATGTTTTATTTAAATGTCTACTACTCTTGTAAACTACAGACTGTATATTATTTGTCTTACTTTTACAGATTATATACGGCCGTTCGTTAGAGTCGGTCCCAAGGGCTTTTTTTGGATGGCAGGATATGGAGACAAGGCAGAAGACATTTACAATCTAGAAGTTCGCCCAGATGACATTTGGATCGTCTCTTTCTCGCGATCTGGTACAATTATCATATTCATTTTAAATTTTCTTCTTTCGATATTTACATAAAAAGTATTTTAAATCGCTAAAAAAAATATATATAATACATAAAATTAATAAATTATTAGACGTTTCGATATCTTTGCGTGACCACGCGTTGAAAAATGCTATTTTCAAATAAGTTTAACTAATTAATATTATATCGCGTCTTATTTAAATGTACTACTCTACTACTCGCGTAAACTACTGGACAGTACTTTATACTTATTATACTATACCTAATTAAAATTTTCTAACCACAGCTAGAGATATTCGATTTATGTATAGAAGCGGGTACGGAGAACAGTAATATGCCCGTGACAACTGACAATTGACAAACCTCGGTATAAGACGCAAAATATCCTGTAAAAATCCAAAACATCGAGGCAAAAATAAGCGAATATGTACACATTTTAAACGCTCAAAATATTTATGAATTTTATAAGGTTTTCGCAACCAAATTGTAGAGCTTTTTGAGTTTTTGTAGCCGTTTGAACGGCTGTTTCATTAAAATTTTATAATATTAGATGTACACGATAAAAATCAATCTATCATCTTACAATTCTAAACTGTTTATCAGGTACTACCTGGTTACAAGAGTTAGTATGGTTGCTATCCAATGACTTGAACTATGAACGCGCGTCGGCTGAACCAATAACGAAAAGATACGCTTTTATTGAGTGAGTCTATAAGTATACACTTTGAACCTTCCGACAGGTCGACGAGACTGTCTTTATAAAGCAATAGCCAAGATTTTACCATCCTACCTGTAAATAAAATCAATCGACGAAACAGAAATATGTATGTCTTTGGGGCAAGGAAATGCATGAATTGGCTTTCAGTTTTTTTTCTTTTCTCATACGTAACACCTACATACGCTTTTTAGATATCCCACACAAAGATCGGAAGTAGAAAAGCCCAGCCCTCCAATTGGTGGTCATGGAGCCACTGTACACGACTATAGGGACTTACATACTTTGGATTCACCCAGATACGTAAAGACACATCTGAACTTGGATTTCTTACCACCAAAGCTTCTTGATACAGCTAAGGTTAGTTAGCTGATACTCTGGTTAGATTCAAACTACGCGTACTTGTAACTTCGCGTATAATGTGTATACATCTTCTGTTATAATATTTAGACATAATATGTATATACTCGTACCTACATATTTCACCTTTAAACTACTATAAACTTTGTTGTATAATCCCATTTCCCCTCATGGGGCATGGGGCGAACACGTTTATGTGTCCGTTTTACTGATCGGTTTTTATTTATAGGCAAGTAGTGGATCAGACTTCAGTGCCCTGCCCGTCCGAAACAATGTATTACATATTTCCCCGGGATTCGAAATATAAATTCGGGCGAAGGTAAATTATAGAGTAGATATTTTTAATATCGAAGACCAATTTAATTTAATGTAATTTACTTAAAATGCAAAGACTTAAGAAAGAAGAATATTGTCTTACCATGTATATATGTATGTTTGTTTGTTTGTACAGGTGTTCTACATAGCTCGAGATCCCCGTGACGTGGCAGTATCGTTTCATTTCATGCACAAACTATTCCGATACTTCGACGAAGAGGTGGAGTTCAAGGAGTTCTGGGAACTCTACAAACGTAACTTGTGTAAGTTACCTCACTTAATACTGATGACAAGAATTCTTTTAATGTTTATTAACCTATATTTCTATATCCATTTCTGTTATAGTACTGCATATGCCTATTTTCCCTCACATCGAAGAAGCTTGGCAGAAAAGAAATCATCCTAACATGATGTTTTTGTTCTACGAAGAGATGCAAAAGGTAAATTAATTATTTAATAACTTATAGACAACTGACATATACTACTGCCGTATTTATAGCAAACGGATGTATTATGGAATAAAATAATGTTATGTAACTTGACCCATTTATTAATACAAATTGCTATAGGATTTGAGGAAAGTTATCGACCGAGTGTCGAGTTTTCTCGGAAAGACCTATACTGAAGAGGAGAAGAATAAATTAGCAGACCATTTGACATTTGACAACATGAAGAAAAGACCAGCGTTCAAAACCAAGAATGACAACAAACATACTGAAATTAAGTTTATGCGTAAAGGTATGGTTTTTTATCTCGACTTCTTATTCGACTCTAATTCTATACTTAATATTATTATGTTGATACAACCCTAACAAATAATTACTAATAATTAATTTCGACCAAATTTGAGCGATCGATCGGAACTTGCAACTTAATCTTAAAAGATAGACATACTTCATATAATTTAAAGAAAAATCATTAAATCAGACATATATGAACGGATAGCATTGTTTTTCGGTTATTTCCACATTTCCCTTCGCTCCTATTTTTTTGATGTTTTATAGCCTTTGTCGGCAAATGCTTCATCTAACACAAAAATAATTTTTAAATTCCAGTAGTTCCTGCGAAGAGCGCGTTCATACAAACAATCTGTATTTTATAATATTAGTATATAAATTTCTATTTCTAGGTAAATCCGGTAATTGGATCAATTATTTTGACACAGAGGAACTGCATAGTGAAGCTGAGGCTTACATGGCTGAAAATCTTAAGAAAACAGATCTTCGCTTTCCAGAAGCCGAATAACTTTGACACACTATACCTACTATCCCTCTCAAATAATTCTTTTATTTTTCCTAATACTTATATTCATAATAAAGCTCCAAATGTTATTCTACTCCTTTCTTCTTCATATCAAATAACACATAGTCTAGTATCATATCTCTCCTACCTGTTTCTAAGCACCTGGTAGTTTTGTAAGACCGTTAGCCCTTTTAAATAAAACACTTTAACGGTTTTAAACGCGATATATTAGTTAAACTTATTTGCAAATGATTTTTAACTTCGGCCCGAAGTAAAAAATCATTTTCAAATAAGTTTAACCAATATATCGCGTTTTTAACCGTTAAAGTGTTTTATTTAAATGTGTACTACTCGCGTAAACTATAGACAGTATTTAACCGTTAGCCCTCTTTGTAGATATTTTTTATTAATAGAAGAATTAACAAACTTCTGTGCCCATCTTGACCGACATTTTTTATTAGGGACCTCTGCCGTCAATTCTAATAATTGAGAATGGTGGACTCGGTGGGGATCAAATCCACGACCTGTTGATTATTAGCCTGCTACCATTAGCTTAGTTAGATAGCATTAATTTTATTATTTACTGAACGATATCCACCATAGATTATACTGAATTAAGTCAATACCTTGTCACTAAAAACATTAACCAATTTCACAAAAGTTAGAATAGCGTTAAAGTTTGTCAATAAAGCTGAACACAGTTGGAAACTCATAAAGCTTTCAGCGGCCTGAAATAACACAATTTCGAGGACAATGTAAGGTCAACAGCCACGTCATGAATTTTTAAACGATCCGATTAACTCTTCGGCTTTCAGTGAGACAGGGTTAACTTGGATTTCTTTATTTAAACTGTAGTTTGTATAAATTATTTAAATAAATCATTTTAACGGTTTAAAACGCGATATATATATTACTTAAACATTCGCTTTGACCAACGAAAAATCATCGTAGAGAGTCGATTTCCAAGAATGGTACGCGAAGTAATCGAAATTAAGAAACAGACATTTTAATAGGGAGAACGGCCCCAAGCTATCCAGTTCACAGACGGAAGAGATGGCGCTAGCGTAGCAGTTTTACTTTGACGTCAATTTACCTTTAGTCTCCCCATGACCAGTGCTGTTGCAAAGCATCCGAAACCTCGGACCGTAGTTAAAATAATTTTCAAATAAGTTTAAAATATATCGCGTTTTAGATCATAGAAGTGTTTTATTTAAATGTGTACTACTCGCGAAAACTATAGACAGTATGTATATACTATTTCCAAAAATAGAGAAAAGAAACAATTATTATAATTATCCATTTATTTATGTAAACTCGTACACTTGATCTAATCATCAACCGTTTATACTTGCACAGTAGTGCCTCCGAAGGCGGTCTTTTTCCCATTGTAATGTGTCCACCTACAAATACTGGTACTTCAACAATTATCATTTATATGTATTAGTCATTAACATTATAATCCGAAATAACTTTACGATAGTTACCTTCTAACTGGTTTTAGGCAAAAAACTTACGTCAACACCCCTTCATTACAATGTAAAAAGACCATATAAAATACAAATGTAACATACGCACCATAATTGACTCGAAAAAGCATAAAGTATTGCTTGAGATTTCTAAAAAAATATAACAAAAAAAACAAAACAGTAATTTTAATATATGGCACTTTTATAAGCATCGCCAAAATTGTTACAAATAAAATTACAACAGAAATATGCTTTTCCTCGGCAACACTGAATGCTTCATCAATCGCCCGCTTTTTGGTAACCATCATTGTGCTGATTATATTATTCAGTAGTAATGAAAACATAATATAAACATGTGACTTTGCGGATAGATAGCAACGTACTTGGTAATATTTCTAATTTTATGATAGCTGTCTAATTATTTTTAATAAAGATAATAAATAGTGTGCAGTACTTACATTGAAACCGTGTATTTATCACTTAAGTAAGATCTTAACAGTGTTGTAACGTTTAAAATTTAAAATGTGTTTAATCATTATAAATAAAAGTCCAAAGGTGTATCAATATTACGTCTCGAACTTATTTCGTATATTAAAAAAAAGTTTAGTAAGATCCAAGAAGGTTACAACACTGGTTAAATTAGTTTTATAACTACAAACGTTCGTTCAGAATAATTACGCTATAATTCGCGCCTCACCTTTCCTCAGACTATTTAAATGTTATAAAAAATTGTACATTACTTTACAATGTAGATAAATATTATAAAAATCATAATTAAATAACTGTTAACCCTCTGTTCGCTTAAGATGTTATGATGTTACATACAAATTGTTAATGCAAACATTGCTTGTTAAGAGAGACGTTCTTTATTGCAACGATAGCTGTAGTAATGTAAAAAAAATGATATACCAAACTAGAGTTTAGAGAAAGTATAAATAGCCGCACGGATCCTTAGCGCTGAACGAATCCTGCGCAGAGGTAAAAAATTAGGTATCGGAAGCGGGCGCGGGGCGAGTGAACGTCACGTGCGCTAGCGTTGATTTCGTTTCCCCCTGTTATCTTTCTCGGAGTAATACGAATTCTCGAATAGAGTCACGTTTTCCAATCAATTACGTGCACGATTGTAAAGATGCGCAACTATCCCCTTAACAGTTTGTTCAGCGCTAAACATCCGTGCCGCGACCTATACCTCAAATTTGTTCGTAAAAATTTACAATGTTAAATGAATTGTTTGCGAAATCCGTTATAACAATGTCGAATAATGCAATTATTGGCAAATTGTGCTCCTATAAAAATTTGTGAAATTAAAATTTACAGTACACAATCTGCTCACAGAATACATTACATAGATAAGTTACAAAATTGAGCAATATGTTAAGTTATCGATACATACAATATAAAACGGGCAATATAAATATCGATTCAATTAAGAAAGAATATTTGTACAAATTAACTCCAAAACGCCTTAGCAGCCACTAGTATAAGACTTAACTAACTATGATTACTTATTATGCATATCTTTGGCGAATACACTGCTTTTGCGGTACCTTGAAGTCAACTTAATTTATTCTCATTAGAAACGTACGAACGTCGTTGTAAATTCTCACAAAAATTCACTATTTTTAATACTGAATAAAACTGGTACCACTCCGTTTGAGAATATTACTAATTAGCTAATCTTACTAATTTTCGCGAGTTCAATCCGGATGGTCAAAATATTTTTCACGAGAAGTCAAACTTAGAGCCGTACCTTTAGGCTTCTTTCGTATTAAAGTCTCGTTCAGATACGCTGATCCTGACTTTGCATTGTCTGCATTGATAAAATGGTGGAATAATAGGGGGATATGAAATCTCGAAAATATATGAATGATATTGTCATCTACACCTGTAGGCCATTTGCTTAACAATTTTCTTGACTTTCGTGTTTACCTTATAATAATCTAAATGATGTAAGCGAGGATAGAAATTTATTGTATGCTAACCTAGCGTTTGCGAATGGCAGTTTCGTCTTGCACCTTAACACCGGATGAGATACGAATACCAATTCCCGTTACACTACATATACGGTGGAATGCTTACAGATAACATACGCTTAACTATATGCCTATTTATATACAGAAAGGGGTCCACGCTACACGAGTAGTATCTAGTTAAAACCGGCTAGAACCGGATATAAAAAGTCGGTGCACTCAATCTCAGTTCGTTAATCGAATCCAGTAATAAATACTAAAATTATTAAAATCACACAAACAAGCTTATCCGTTATATAGTGAGATATATATTCCTATATTATATATACATTTGTTCTACATTAGGCTCCGAGCCCCTACGCGCCAGACTACAATTTGGCATGTCACATTACCAAAAATGGTTTATTCGCCGTTAATATTTCCACTAATTTTTGTAAAACATTCGTCACACAAGTATGTCTATACAACAATCCAGCATTATAAATTATTGCTAAACCAATGTACTAGTGGAGTTATATTATTGAGCTAATTATCTTTTCGTCTTAAGTGACCATTTTCGTAAAGAAAATGGAGTACGAAGTACCATCAGTTAATATTAGATTCCACAGCCATTAGAAAGTGTGATCCATGTTTTTTTTAATGTAAATTTTACAAAATCATGAATTTTATCATTATTGTAGCTTATATTGTTTCTTGGCGTCACGAAAAAACGTTGTACACCTATGTACTTCCTAATAATTAAAAATCCAATAATTTTAACAGCTCCATAATATCTAAGACCAGCTTAGATGATAGACGAGCTTTTTGTCGCTGTCGATATATTTTTATAAACTTGGTGTTTCCAGAATCATCGGTCTATTATTTTTAGCCTTAAGGTACAAAACCTTATTGTACTGTAATTCGTTTGACGAAATTCACAATCGTTCGTTTCACTCGGGTTGCACTAGTCACATACACTGGAGTTAAATTAAATCACGTTTGCGTGGCTTTTAAGGTACTAAGTAACGAACTTAATTTCAAAATAGAAACGTCCTGAATTCTGACTATTATCGGATCGCTGTTATAGTTGACCTATATATAGATGATGGCTTTTTCGCTGAATCGGTACGTAATTGCGCGAAATTTAGCGACCCATCTAATATCTATTCAAACCTCATCGCCTCGTGCGCAGACAAGGACGCAAGTCCGTACCTTCGTACCTCGCGGATCCTACAATTCCGTGACTGCGTACAAATCTCTTTGATCGTGTCGTTCCGGTCTACGTCTGTGCGTATTCGTGTTGTGTTGTTGTCGCCTCGGTCGTTGCAAGCTACGGTATTCCAACGCTGCTGCTGACAGTGGCTGCGGATCTGTGCGTCGTTGCGGGCGCACTGTGGCATATTTGTCGTGCGTATGCGTGTCGTGCGAGTGCGCATGGACAGCAGGCTCAGGAGAGAAAGTGTGGAGGGCGGGCGGCGGCGCGGGGGGGCGTGGGCGCGGCGCACGGGGACCGAACGACGCGTATTTAGGATCGAAGCGGTTCAGACTGGCCGTGCGGCTCGCCTGACCTGTAAAACAAACATCCGTGCATTAGCAATCTATATAGTGTATTAAGTCTAACTTAGTAAAAGACCACAACAAAGATGGCCGATTTCAGACCAAGCCAGTGACGACCTTTAATAGAGAAAAGTTATTGCCACAGAAGACACAAGATTAAAGAAATATCCATTAAATTAGGATCAAACGACCTCCATATTCAAAATCACTTAACAAGGTTTTTTTTCTTATGTCACTATTATTTAATTCGATGTTTGTAACGCTTTTCAGTGAACGCGCAGGAGTGGGACTTTTACCTTTTATTGTCGTTGACTTTGCTTACGTCCCATCCTTATATAAATGTGAAACTAATTAAAAATTTAATTTGCACATTTACGTATCATTCAATTCATAATTAGGGTTTTTGTTAATTTTAACATAAATTTGTCGTTTTAGTCCAGTGTGAAAGTGTTTTTAGTGTAAATCAATGTGAGAAAATCACGATTACATGTAAAACATTTCATATTTGTTTACCAAAGATGCCAACTTAGAAAAAATACACTATAGTGAAGAATTCTTTATTTTTTTATACATTTTGGATAAATACTCCCTAGACATTCTTTTATCATTGGTATAAATGTGTACGTTTTATCTTATGTTATTATTGTATATAAACGAATCTATACATACCAGCGTTATGTTCGGGCGCGCCGCCGGGCCGTTCTCAGTAGAAGTCATTGCTCTCAAGTGTCTTGCACTGCTTGCTAAGTGTCGCGTACTTGCCGTTGTGGGGAGCGCGACCTAACGTGTGGGACCCGCCCAGCGCCGATCCCAACGCCCCACCACCGCTTGCTCGGCCCAACGTAGCGGTTCCCGAAACACGAGACCTAGAGATATACACAGTTATTAATAGTCCTTATTGCAATTAAAGCAATGTTACTACTAAAACGTTTAACTATTTTTCTATAAGGAACTTGAATAAGTGTTAACTTTACATAGACCAAGACAGACAAACGTGGCGTTCACTTAATGGAAGGTGTGACTCCAGACATAGAACATCTCAACAAAATGCGCTCTTGACCTATTTTGCCTTGGATATTTAAAAATCTAAACACTTTTAAGCAAAACACTTTAACGGTTTCAAACGATATATCTTAGTTAAACTTATTTGGAAGATATTTTAACTACGGCCCGACGTTTCGGATGCTTGGCAGCAGAGGAGGTTCCCCGTGACCAAGTTAAACTCGTGCGTAATTAACCTACAGACTGAAACCGGAATGCGATTAAATTTCAGGGCTTTTTCATTTGTGGATGATAGCTAGGTATTTCGATATGCCGACCACCCATTAAAGGTGCAAATTCCAAACGAAGTCGAACATGTTTCAGGAAAATGACAAATCATTAGAGAAATATGCGCCAATGATCGCGTAAAAAGTTTTAATATACCGTAGGGCGCTCCCGTTCTCGGTCGTTGAGATCCATGAGCTGAACTGCAGCGCTATAAGATGGTGGTTTGCCGTTGGGGAAGGGAGCTGGGCGAGGTAATGTTCGTGATCCGCCGCCACTAGACAGGAATGGAGCTTGTTCTTCGCCGGTTACACTGCGTCTAAAATCAGAGCAACTAAAATGAGTAACAGTAAAAAAAAGCTTACATTACACTTTACTGTGGGTTTCTACCCCACAAAAGCAAATGACAAACGAAGATAATTCTTATCGGTTCCTTAAGGGCACAGAACCCTTAGTCGTTCATGTTTAAGACGCTTCTCGAATCGTTAACGAAGCTGTCTAGAGTAGGTGTTTTAATAACAGTACAAGTCTTACCTACTAATACTATTTAATTTCAAAGACTTTTTGACAATTAATAAATAGCATTATATATAGACTCACTTGGTGTTGATGTATATCCAAGCGTGCGAGTCGACTAGAACAATCGCAGTGAATAGAAAACCAGCCACTATCGCCGCAAGGAGCTGCAGAGTCAAAGCCTGAAAATCATAAGTAATGTATTACGAGTATAGGTTTTTTTAATCACAGTAGATATAAAAGTAAAGAAACAGACTAAAAATTAAAGAAAAACAACAGTTTCGACAGTATTTACAGGTTATTTAATTTTTTTAGGGCAACAAAAAAAATCTAAGAGAAAAATACGGATAAATATTTTCATTATATGATCGGCAGAGGGCGGTCGAGTCTACATAAAACTAATTACTGAACCAACACGGCTTTTATTATTTCTCTCTGTAGTTTCATAGTGACGCAGTAACACCAACCTGAAGACCAGCATCACACGCCGCACGTGCTGCAGTGACGAAATATGCCCGAGTCATTCTGCACTCAAGCGCAGAATTCAGCGACACGAGCGCACGTTCTGCTTCCCCAGTCCCGGCTCCTAATGCCCCTAGTGCTGGCTGAAGACCTAAACATAAACCTAAATGTCTAAGATAAGCAGTAGAATATCAACTACTTATACAAATCAATTTCAGTAAAAGATGTAATCAGCGCGTCGTATAAGATTATATGGAAGGTATCATATTGGTAAATAGCCTTCATCTATAATCTAGCCAAAGCTTAGCTATGGGCTTGAGTATTTAACGTTTCAAACTGTAGAAAAGATTTCTTTTGTACCTGATATGAACAAATATGTTCAAAGTTAACGAATTGATGTTTTATTGTATACTTCATGATTTTTGTTTCTTGATAATCTTTTCTTAACAATCTTTTGTATCATTCCTGTTTTAGATATAATATAATTTTCACTTACCGGGGTCGTTGAACAGCTGTGGTGCTCCCCGGGATAAAACGGCAAGGGCTTGCCTCACCGCCACCACAGCGCGCTGTGCGTTTCTTAGCTCTGCCGTTAATACGTTCTCCCGGGACACCTTGCACGACAGGTAATAGTGGACCATCTGAAATAAGAAATACAGCTTTAGTCCGATAAATACGGGAGGTAAAGTATTCCGAAGGATAGCATCAACTTGAAACTTGAGGTGAACGTCGTTGCAACATATGTCATATTGTTGGCACATTTGGCCAGCGTAGAACGCTTAGTGCTATCTTCATAAGAGGCCTAATTCTAAATTACCCAGGTACGAAATGCCGCTGACGACCAATTCGTATGGCAAACGTACCCGGCAGTACGCTTACGTTAACTTAGATAGTGCCGCCAAAACCGCTAAACGATTTATTTACGTTTGGATTATTTTTAATAAGATTTGTAAATAAATGTGGCGTAAGAACGTGACGTATCTTTTGTTTATCTTTTAGCCCTATACAATGAAATTGACATAGTAAACTTACATCCAGCGGCAACCGATGGGGCGCATAAAGAGCAATAGCTCGAGCTGGTTCTTGACAGGCATCAGCTGCAGCTACGGATCCAGCAACCAGCGCTGCACTAGCTGCCCAGCACGCTACCAGCGCACCCAAAGCACATACCTACAAAATTTTGTAAAAGCTAATAATAATGGTTATTTTCTGAGCATTTTACCCAATTTTCCGCAGAAATTGGGTGAAATTGTCAGAATGGTGAAATTCAGATATGTATGTGAAACGGCCAAAGAATTATGTTTAAAAGAAAGTAATTTAATAAACAAAACACACTTCATATTGTATAGTCAATAAATTAAGTACGACCTAAAAATTTCGGTTAAGCAGCCATGGACATAATGATTTCCACTTACACACAATGACAGCAATGCCCGTCTGGATCTCCGTGCTGCTGCGGCAAGTAGAGCTACGCAAACAGCGCCACCACAGCACCAACCAGCCATTCCTCCCGCCCAGCGGGCCGCCTCCCATACCCAAAGGCGCTGTAATTAAATATAGGTAACTTTAAGATGCATTTAAAATACATTTCAATATACATTATGGTGTAGCCAATTTATACATACTTATAAAGTTAAGTAGGGCTACACTCATAGTTCAAGTGTTTGGTATAATTTAATACTAAACGCCGGCCCGTAGTTAAAATCATTCGTTAAAAAACTTTTCTAATACACTTGGCGTTTCAAACCGATAAAAGTGTTTTATTTAAATACGTAAAATCCGTGCAAACTACAGACAGTGTTTAATTTTGTATTTACATTGTGGAATATACGCTAACTTTTTGTTATCATAAACGGTTTGGATTTTTCTCAAACTACCTTCATAAAAGCGTCAAGATTTAAAGCAGCGAGCGGGCGTCTCAAGTTGTCTGCGGCTGAAGCAGCAGCACTTGCATTGTTCCTCAGCGCAGACAGTGCTCTTAGCAGCGTTCCGAGGGCTGTCTGGTTAGCAACAGGCGCATCCAGAGCATCCGCCAAGCGTGCGAGCGGAGCTCGGGCGCGGGAGCCCATTGCTTCTTCTAAAATACTGGACTGAAATTCATTATACGAATGTAATAAATATAGTGGAGGTAACAGAGTAATTATCAATACATACAGGTAGATGGCATAAAAGCTTACTCTTAAGAAAAAAAGGGTGTTTTGGTACATATTTTTGGCTGTAGTTGTAGTTCTGTCCAACCGGTGCCGTTTTAATTTAATCTTACATATTTGAAAACTTTCATATTTTTACATGCACAAGATGGTAATGTGTAAATTAGGAATCGATTTTAGGACTTGAAGATAATATTATCTTTATTATTGCTTAACCAATGTTAAAGATACGCGGACGTGAACTGCCACTCAACGCTGTCCGTGCCATTGTTCAAGCCAATTTGCCTGTGTCGTTAACATAGCATATAAGAGATAGTATCATTATAATATTATCTTTAATATTACTACTTTCTCTCTCTTTTTAATTTATTGACTTTTACAAATCTTAACATAGCTAATACAGTCCCTTACTTGATTTTTAACAGTGTTGACTAGTGCAGCTAGCTGGTTCCCAGCTTGGATGCTCTGCAGCATTGCATTGTGGAGGTCATCGTTTCCGAACAAACCGACGCCGATCGCGCCGCAGCACAGCACGGAAAGAATCATTAATGTTATCTGAAAATAATGCAAAGGTCATAAGAATGTAAAAAAAATATGTCTCAAAACAACTAACATAAATAGTGAGATAGCGTGTGTGTGTGTGTGTGTGTGTGTCCCCACACTTATATATATCAAAGTGCGGTACCTCTTTTCAAATATTATTACTAACTAACAAAGATACGAAAATTCTACACGAAACAAAGCAGTTAATTATTTTCATGTGAAAACCATATTCTACTATACAGTCTCATTCAGTCATCTTTCCTCGTTCCCTATGCACGACGTGATGTCAGTAGCACATGTTTAAACTACATCACGACACTGTGGGAACGACGTGATTGTGTTAGCAGATCTTGATCTAAATTTATCTCTCGAGATTCAGACGCGTTTTTCAAATACATTTTCACATTGACATTCTTAGTTGAAACAAATGTATGTGGTTTTTACCACTAAACACTGTCTGTAGTTTACGCGAGTACTTTGAAATAAAACATTTTAACTGTTTTACACGCGAAGAGTATTAGTTTTACCAATTGTAAATAATTTTTACACACATTACGTATTTAACCGTTAAAAGTGTTTTATTTAAAGGACATTATGTATATTGTCTACTCTCCTTCCCTCTAGCAAATTCCTGACCAGGTATTTGTATACATTTTTCGCCCATTTAAAAAGGCTCTTAAAGTTTTAACTTCAAAAATTTTGAGCCAAATATATCAAATAAGAAATATTTTATACATACGAACGAGAAGAACGGTCAACAAACTCGCCGCTTTATTTTGTATCGCCATTCATTTGTTTTTAGCCCTCACTGACTTTGATTACAATAAGGGAATTATCTCAACATTATATTATATAAAGCGCTCATATAAAGTAACTTCTCGACTAACCTTCAGAGCAGTAATGCTTTTTGGCGGGCGTTGCTTCCGGTCGCAACATCTCGTGAGCAAATATATGAGCAGAATAGTTAAGGTCAAGATCAGCCACGCGCCCGGTATGGAACCTAGGATTCCTAAGCTCTGAAAATAAAATAAAAATCCTCAATAAAGTATACAATTCTAGTATCGGCTGTACGTGCGTGAGTTAAAAGCGAAAATTTTTAGTACAATTAAATTAAATACTTTTGCCCTTTTCCTTGTTAGGTCGTAATTAATAATAAGAAAAAAAAATACATTATTATTTTTCTTTGGCATCCAATTTCCATGAAGCAATAATAATGTCTCTTAAAACACAGCTTAATGTATGTGTTAAAAACCACAAATATATAGAAAGTATATTTGTCAGTTTCTCTATAACCAATACCATTTTCTATAAACGACTAATTTGGGTTACTATCGACATAAAATTCGTGAAGCAATCGATATTCCTCAAGAATGCGAAAATCTTGCCTTTTTTCTTCTGTTACAAGTCTTGATCGATGCCTCGATTTTTAAGGTTTTCAGCAGTAATATCAATAGGGGACTAATTGGTACGTTACCTCAAGGTATATGGGTGAATTGGGGGCGAAGGTATCATTGACCCGGTGCAGTGTCACATTTATATGGGGCAGCGAGTGAAGCAGCCGCGAGAGACGCGGCGGCACGTACTCGTCCGAACCACCAGCGCTGCCCATCGCCACGCCTCACTCACACACTCACCTGGAGCATAAGCCATCAAATATATTATATACGAGCGCGTTGGTGTAATTGTAGTAATGTATGGCTTATTTATCTAAAGCTAAAATAGGACAACAGCGCATCTTGTTTAGATGCTATAGGGGGGGGGGTATATCACCTACCATCAAATGAACCCCCCCTGCTTGTCTGTCCTCCTTTATCATAAAAAATGAAGCAGGATAAGAGTTATGTCTATATTTGACTCACTGATCGAATACATGTAACCAGACGATAAGCTAAATAAATTAGTTGTTCGTCCGAAAATGTGTTACTCAGGAGTTCGAACCGGAGATATCTTCGTCTTAACCTAATACAATTTCCGTTTACAACTACGTCACAGCCATCATATATATATTTTAAAGTTAATATTTGAACTCACCGCAAAAAAAGTTTAATGAATATAGCTTAGGACACCATACTCCGGTCGACCGAAACCATAGTTCTAACGGGAGCACATCTGGAACAATATAAGCAATCTTATTAATAGCTCATTAAAAAGATATGAAACTCGTAACAGTGTGGGGAAAAGAAATTAAAATGTTCTTAGACCAAATGTAGTTCAACAATACGCAATATATTTTCACAGAGAATTTTATGTAACAGCTGATCAGGAAAACATTTCGTTACACATAACTGTAACAATTGGTGTTATTCATTAATTTCGAAAAACAAAAATAAGATCGAGCGTATCAATAAATATTTTGCGAGCTAATATTAAAACATAGACATACATTATTTAAAAATCGAAAATAAATTGAAAAAAATTTCGACTCGGGCAGGACTTGTAGCTTAATTGGACGCAAAAGCACGGAACGCTGACGATGCCGGTTCAAATCCTGCCCGAGTCGAATGCATTCTTGTGCAATAACATGTAAAAAATATTAAAGCTATAGACATATATCATCACAGATCATTTTTCCCGCTTTTCCACTATTTCTTAATAAATGGTCTATCCCACACAAGAAGAATTCAATCTGAACCCTTAGTTCCTGAGATTATCGTGTATAAACAAACAAAGAAAATCTTAACTTTTGTACTATTGATAGATCAACAGCACACGCAACTCAATCAAGATTCTACGCATGTATACTGCACTTGCATATAAATATCATTAGTAAGCGCATATGTCGTTAGAAAACCGAGTGCCATTAATTGTATGATAACCATAGTATGAATCCTGTTTAATTTTTTTAAGGCAGACACATCACTGTGTCCGTTTCGGTCATATTTACAAGCAGTAGCAGCATTAGTATGAAGGGCATGTCGAAGGAAATTATTTTGTTTCTGCGGAATTCCTTTGAGATTCCCGAGATTTTGTAAGACTTAGCAATGTCGTCATCCTAAAAATCTAGACCATCAGAGCATCTGTAAACCGGATAAACCTGTACCGTACATTCGTAAAAGCTTACTATGTCTCATAAAGAAAGCTGAAGAGAGAGAGTTATATAGTTATACAAACACTGATTCTACAACTACAACTGATTCTGCGCTATAAAAATATTAACAATATTATAAATGAATTTATTTTCCAAAAACACAATAACCAAACAGTCAACTTGGATAGAAAAACAAATTATGAATTGATGCTATTATTTTAGACTTCATTTCTTTCGAATATAATAAAAATATACATTCGCCCCAAAAATTTCGAAGATAAATAAAGTCTGACTCACATTAATTTTGAATTTTGCGGTTTGTTTTCCTATTAGGGATTATGAGTATTACTTTAGTAGGAAGGAAGAAAAAAACTGATTTTGGGAAGATGTCAATACCCTTACATTACTATGAATTCTACTACCATACTATGACCCGGCAAACATGGTTTTGTCATTATTTTTAGGCATTTTAGTATAGTGGTATGAGTAGAAGATGAAAAATGTGTAAAAATTTCCTTTTGTATTTTTAATGTAATATTTAAACAAAACACTTTTGAACGGTTCGGGAGGCGAAATAAATTCATTGACTTATTACAGATTATTTACACTATGACCCGACGTTTCGAATACTTTGCAGCACCTGTGGTCGCGGGAGGACCTAAAAATATGGATACCTAATACATACCGCGATTTAAACCGTTATAAGTGTTTTATTTAAATGTGTACTACTCGCGTAAACTACAGATAGTATTTAATTAAATATTAAAGATACGTTAGTGGGTAACACCTATCATTTAGGGATATGAAAAATAAATAAATGATTCTCAGACCTATATATATAAATAACGAATATGTACATTATATGTGTATATTTTTTTATATAAAGGCGGACATAGAAGCATGGGGTTACTTCATGGGAGGTAAAATACCCCACTATGTAACATCTAAGCAAGATGCGTCGTCGAGCTATTTTGGATTTTTGGAAATCCACAGACTGAAAACGAAACGCGATTAAAACTTCACGGTTTTTTCATCTGTGGACGGTGGTTCGTGACTGCCCGGAACTGCGTATTCCACCACATGTTTTAGACCAAATTCCAGAACTAGAAACTTGTTGAAATATTAAGCCACACCCGTTGAGCATTGAGCCTATTAGCTACAATTAGACCAAGGACCCCGTCGAAATGTAACCTATTTGATTTGTGCGCATTGTCATGTTCCCAAGCTAGAACGATTGGAGGCAAATATATGGCTTAGTTTTAGTGAGGATGCGGCCAATCAAACAGGCCAGCGCACTTGACTAATAGAATAATCTGAATACTAGACGACTCGTTGGAGCTCAGTTACCTTCCCCCTATCCATAACACAGCCTTGAACTGGTTATTGTATTACATTCTTGAGACAAAAAAGTACTTTATGCTATTATTAAAAAAAATAACATGGTCGTGATGAAAGAGCCTGTGATCACAAATTAAAAGGTTGAGGATTTTTTACTTTCTGGTATTGTTCATCATGATGACAGAATACAGGCAAGAATAGTGTTAACTTAGATGTGAAGTGACTAGAGTTTTAGGTTTTTTTCGACATATTTTAACTAAAAATATTTGGAATCCACAGTGAAACCGAAACGAGGCCATTTTGCGTCTTTTTTATTTTTGGTCGTAACTACCGTACTTACACAGATGTCATTTCGATATTACTATGAACCCTTCGCACACTCATATGAAAGTCCAGATTTTCCAAACAAAGTGCACCTCAAATTTTTAAACGATGTTTCGTGGGTACAACATGTATAATTCACGATCCCTTTTCTCGGTTTTCCCGTCAGCTGACGCATGCGTAGACCGAGCCGCAGAAAAATGTATGTCAAACGTTTACAAATTTTATGAGCATTGTTTAAGAAGAAGAGAACGCAATACTAAAAGTTCTTTTCGTTGAACAAGTGGCCTTTTATATGAAGGAAATAGTAACAATATATACGTTTCGTTAGGTTGGGCATAGGGCGAACATAATTATGTGGCCTTAACACTACTTAACCGGAACAATTTAATATTTTCCCAGGATCGGAACCCGGGACCCCTAGTGCTAAACGCAATGCTAGGCGCGTTTAAACATTACGCTACGAACGCAGTTTTAGAAAGTAGGCATTGTATTTTTTTGAGAACGTTAATAATTTTCACATGATCGTATTATTTATTTATTATATACTCGTAAAATAAAAATCGATTAATTAAGTTACCGTGTCCATTAGTTAGAGCACTAGCACGGATCGCTCTGGATGTCGCTTTCCCGTCCTTGTCGTACTTTTAAAAATCTAAAACCGATTTTAAAATATAATTTATTTATTCGAGAAAAATAATATTGTTTTACAAAATATATGCCTATTGATATTAACTACAGGACCTAAAAAAGAGCGTAAAATTTATATACAACTGTAAACTGCTTTTAACATAAATAAAGGTTTGATTTACCTTAAAACCTACATATTGATATTCACTTCCTTTACTTACTCTCTTAACATAAAAATGCTTCGTTTTCTCTGAATTTTGTGGTAGGATTATCAAAATACCGTACGGGTCACGACCCCAGTCCGAAGACGAAAAAGCCGTCAAGTTTAATCTTGTTTCAATCAGTAGATTTCAGAATATCAAAGCCAAAATAGGTCGACAGCGTAACCTCCAAGTTATCCCCACGCTACTTTGTTCTTCTTTATCATAAAAAAAAAAATCTTTTACTAATACACATTTTTTCTCTAGCCTTCATGGTACATATCTTGCTAAGACTACATGGGTGCTTAGGAAAATACTATTAAAATAGGCAGTAAACGTTCGTACAGTAAAGAGCTTCCAAGCAAGCATAAATAATTCATCACGATCAATTTGCTTATTCCATCTTGACAGAGCACAGGCGTCTCACTGTCTACAGTGACAAACTGAGTTTACTGTACAGTTATTTTAGTTAATCTTTCATCTCATTCGTCCAACATTTTACGTCCAACCAAAGCGAGTAATTTAAAACAAAAAACTTACAATAAAAGTTACTAACTTTAATCATAAACGTTAATTAAACACATATTATTGTTTTCATTAAAAAAACACGTCATTAACCCGTCAATAAATAACAAATACGTATTTAATGACCGCCTGTGCTGCTTAGCATTGCGATAAGCACGAGAAGTCCAGTGTTTCGAATTCCGGGGATAGAATAGATTGTTTCGCCCTGCTTCGGTCGGACAGGGCACACAAGTCTGCTCAACTGTTTGTCTGTAAATATAACCAATCAGTGAAGCGGACACAGAAATGTGTTCGCCCCATCACCCATCGGGGGGAAACGAGATTTTGATGACAATGTTATAATTAACATAATTTACTTCTATCACCGATAAATAGAGAGTAGAGTTCTGTAGCGTTGCCGAACATAGAAATATAAGTATCTTACCAGCTGCCACTAATCAGATCGATAGTGCATCGTACTATTTTTCACAATAACCACTATAGTATTACACATGGCCCGGTGAATGGAGCACGTGGGGTGCGGCCGTTCGATACCGCGGAGGCTGCGCGCTGAGCTCAAACCCAGAA